CAACATTGACACTTAAAAAGTTTTTATCCGACTCATGGGGTATATTTTCGCTCGTTTATGTTTTTTTATGTATGTTAATTTTGGCTTCCTGTATCCGATTTTAATGAGCGTACTACCTATTCGTATTCATCCCTTGAATATCAAAGGTTGAATATCAAATGTTCTTCATAGTGTTATTTTGGTTAAGTTGCTTTCATATGACATCACACATTTAGAGAAACTTAAAAAAAATTCTTAAAAAAAGCCACAAAATCTTACAATTTTATCTCCAAAAAGAAAATATAATGTCTATTTTATATTTTTACATTACGTAAATAATTTAACAGATAAAATAAAACGGTCTATCGTTCGAAGTATTTACCCATTAGGTCAGTTTGTAATCCGATGCTACGTCGCCCCAAAGCCAGTTTATTTAAGTTCTGGGGCGGGATTGATTCAATCAAAAACGGTCCTCATTCCCTTTTGTAAAATAAATTTAAACTAAGATTTGCCATTTAAATAGACACCAATGTAAATATTAATAGAGTCAAAAGGGCTCAGTGCACTTAGAGAAAATAAGTGTACTCTGGCAAGATATAAGAAAAGGGTACATGTAGATGGTAAAAACGAAGACTATTGGAGAAGATTCTCAAACACTCCTAGAGCCTTAAAAAATATATTTTACAATTTTGATAGAAGCATTAAGTTTTACTCTTACATAAAAGAATTATATATAAATGCGAAAGTTTAGATGGATGGATGTTTGTTAGAAGGTATCTCCGGATCTACTCAACGGATTTTGATGAAATTTGGCACAGACGTAGAACATTGTCTGGTAGAACACATAGACTAATTTTTTTAATTCCACACGTACGGAGTCGAAGGCGACAACCAGTGTGATATAATTTCTTGTATTCCTGCTTTTAATTAACGAAGTAATATCAAGAAATATACATTCTTTTGCATTTGTAATGTAAGGCTATAAAGAAGAGAAAAACAATGTTATATATTCGAGGCACGAGGCCGAGAAGCCGATCTCGTGAATATTCCAAGAGCCTATAAATTTAAATGCGAAGATTTGCCGCCGTCAGTAAAGTGGGAATACAAGTCAACGCTCTAAAGAGAATGAAATTAATCGCATAGCTCGTCAACAAGATAGAATATAATACGACTTATATTATGAGTAAAATTCATAAGAATTATATCAAATAGAAATTCAAAGATATGTGTGAAGTCAACCAACCCACACTGGGTTAGCGTGGTTTATGGCCTAATTACCCTTAACTTAGGATAGGCTCCGAGCCCCTAGGTGGGGACGTATAGTGAACTGATGATGATGATATAGAGAAAATAAACAAGTAAATATTGTTGACAAAATATTAAACCTTCTTTAAACCAAAGCCAAATCAGGGTTGTCAAAGTTGCAAATAAAATGCTATTTATCAACTTTCTTTCACTTAAGAAATACGGACATTATAAATCAGTACTTATTTTTACGCCTAAAACGTAAAATAGCGAGAAGTAATGGAATAGAGTATTCAAATGAGATGTAATACTCAATTTACATGGACTGTTTTGCACTTTGCAAATTTCTATTTTAAAACATGGTTTCACTACGCCGCTTTTGTATATAGCTGCCTGTGGTACTTTTACTAACGCGGATACGAATAAATTAATAAGAAACAGCCGCGCGCGTTAGGAGGATCTCTGTTTAAAACATATTGTTATCTCTGTGTTGTTAAAGATAATGTAAGGGGTGCCTTTTGTCTCGGAAACCCACGGTAAATGTTTTAAAAGGCATCTACTTTTGTCAATCTTTAGACCTCATACTTGATTTATGTAACATTTTATATGTATTTATGTCAGAGAACATTTGACCCCTAAGAGGATATCAATCTTAACTGTAACCAGATACATAGTGGCTTGTGATTAATCGACATTCTAAAAGGAAATTCTAGTAGACGTTGAAAATAATATAACTACTCTGTCTCTGAGAATCCTTACTAAAGAATCGAAATCAGTTAAAATTAACTTAACCTTTTGTTACAAACGAGAAACTACTTTTATCAATTTTGCAACATATTACGGCCTTGAAATTGCTGATAAATATTACGTATTTCGTATAACAGACTTCGAAATCTCAATGAATGGTTACAATAAATCTTTTCCGCACAATCGGCGGCGTATCCTTCGAACACGACGTTTTTATTACTTTCCGATTAGATTTCCTCGTAAGATTCATTCTTGAAATATTGATTTATACTATTCTTTTCTTCTTTTAGTTCTTACATATCAGATAAGTAAGGTTAAGATTTTAGAATTATATTTGTGGGTTCGATTTCAAAGGGAGATAACTTTCTTACGTTTGCTAGTTAAGTGTTGTACTATCGATATGTATGTATGATTATCCTTTGCATTTTAACCTCTTATAGCTTGCACGAATTAAACGACAGTTTATTAGATCTACTTCATACATAACAATCCATAATTTCTAGTCTGATTTTTTTTTTTTTTAATTAATTTTTTTACATAGCCTTCGAATATTTATTGTTTCGTATTTAAAGCCTTTTTTCAATATTAAAAACATTTTAGCACTGTAATACAAAAAAACGGTTTAGCGAGTTCGAGAAAGTTCAGTGAGCGCGGAGTGAAATTAATTTTAGGAACAAAACGTTCCGAACAGCGTTTGTAAACTTTTTTAATCTCACGGGAACAATTAGATTTTCAGGCTATTGTTTTAGCAACGTACTTTGAATGTGATACGTCCCTATCGCGAAAACCCACTACCGAAACTTGTACAAAAACATGTCATTTCTCTTATTCTTTTTGACTAAAATAGAGATTATTCATCATGTGATGGCAAAGATTATAAACAAATTTTATTTATATTATAAATGCGAATATTTGGATGGATGTTTGTTTGAAGGTATCTCCAGAATGGCTGCACGGATCTTGCTGAAATTTGGCACAGATGTAAAACATAGCCTGAAAGAACAAATAGGGTACTAATTCAGTTTTTTTTCAATCGGACGGAGTCGCGGGCGTCAACTAGTAAAAAATAAGACACAAAATGCATTCATATTTTTATTTTCACAAGATCAAGAACATCAACAAATCTCTTAAAAATTACAATAACGAAGGTCTAAGATAACAGCTGGATCTTTAGAGCTGCGGCTTTTAATATTTACAAAGTTAAGCTCTTTGGCCTGTACAAAAAAATATACACAAAAACAATTAAAAGAAAATAGTAAAATAAAATTGCGAACCAAAATCTACGGTAACGTAATTAAAATTATTAATAAAATTTCAACAAACTATTTAAAAATAGTTAAAAAATAATACAAGATTCAGAAGTATGTGCATCTTGATAGAGAGTGCTAATATTTATAAAATATTTATATTTTCCAATACTGTGATCGGTACAATTTAAATGCTTAAAATTTACAAAACATTTCTCTCTCGATTTAAAAAAAAACTTATAAAACACAATTCAAATATAAAAACAATTTATTTTTAAATTACAAATTAATTTACAATAAACAATATAAAATAATTTACAATAATTTTTTTTATGTCAAGAATTAAAAATTTTAGAAATTAATTTCCGTTTTGCAAATCTTCAAAACGTAAATTTTCAACAAACTAACTAAATGCACTTCACTAAAATGTTTTAGACTAAACTACATCCATAAATTATCCTAAAGGAGATGTCACACGGTCGATGCGGCGTCGCAGACTTCCTTAGTAGTTTTAAAGCGTTAATACTCAGACTGTACTCAGAGTAATGTTGTGACGTCATACGTTGCCGTGACACTTGTCCTGACTTATATAGTTGTCTTTTTTTTCCAAGCGAATGAGAAAGAGACGACAATATGGTTATTTACAAGTGCTTTACGTTGCGTCACTGCGTCGTGTGGTTGTCGTAGCGTTGCGGCGCCGCACCGCCTGTGTGGCATGTCCCTAACAGACGCGTACGAAGTATATAACATTGACACGACGCCTGATCACAGACCGAAGGAATATCTTCAAAAATATATTGATCATGACATATAAATGTTTAAAACTTCACCAATATTCGACGATCTGTGAAGAAGGCCCGAAGCATATCTACATAGAGTAGGCACAGAAGGGTTCAGTACATTTGGCTTAGTGTGGGAAATCTTAGAAATATCACATCAACTAGTCACCTTCGGGATTTCCAAATAAATAATGGAATGTTGTCTATCTGCAACCACAATATTTACCTTACATTTTTATTAACATCTTTTGTAAAATAATAAATCGAAAAAACCCCTATAGGAAAGAAAAAGGGTAAGCAAACCAATTAAGGGCCAGTTACAATTAGTAACTTAATATCACGACTGCCCTGAGACAAGTCGGCGACAGGACGGCGTGGAGGCAGCTGGTCGGCCGTTGAAGCGTATCAGGACAAGCACGACCTTCAGTAATGAAGAATACGAAGAAGAAGAAGAAGACAATTATATAATAAATTATTGTAATGGACAAATATTGTAGTTACATAAAAAAATATAAATATACAAAGTGCACCCGAAGGCGTGAACAAAGCGATATTAATTACATACTACTTTATTACTAATTTACCCTAAAAATAGCGGTTGAGCTGAGATCTTGTGTACTAATATAATAATTTATTTATTTCTACGCAACTAACAAAACCTACTCAAAAAACTACGAAAAGAAAGAAACCTAAAAAGGTTATTTGAGAAATAATTCAGCTAATTTGACACCTGAAGACATCAATTTTGTAATTGTCGCTAATAGAAAAAAAAACAAAGACATTCTCTATGGTCACACAGTCATCTAAATTCACAGATAAAACAATAAATAATTACTAAAAGTTTTTCAATGTCTTCCACGTTAAAAACAAATAACTATTTTTTCTATAATTTTCGTTATATTTTTTTTGTTTACAATTTTCATTATTTTTTCATGATTGTATACAAATAAAAGTATAATTTAACTGTAGAATTTAAATACAGTGACACTTGAATAACATATTAACTCTGTTTTAACAAAGAAGAATTAAAAAGGATAGCAATATGTATTAATACCATGGTAATGTTTTACAGTTACATGGACCATAACTGTCTAATGTTCTCATCAAATTTCATGAATATTCCTATCTAAAAATTTTATACCATCCAAGTTAACATTAAGTTATATAAGTGAACAAGTACAATCGATTACTTAATTTAGTCTTTAATCGACTTTCGCGACACAGAGATTTAGAAAAAGTCGATATCTTAAATCGTTCGACGTTACGTATCGGCAAAATTTCTTGAAAATTACATACAGTAATTGATATAAAGGACAGAATTAAATTTGAACAACCACAAGAATTTAAGAAATGGTTAATGCAGGTTCATAATAAAAAAAAGGGAAAGTTTTTAAATTTCTAGTCAGAATTATTTTGATTTACGTCACATAAAATTCTATAAAAAGCATATTGTTGTGTGCGAAATTTTTTGATGTGTAACTTATTTTATCTTAACTATGTAAAACCCCAAGTATTGGTAACTATGCAAAAACCTCCAAACATTTCAGTCGTATGTTCAATATAACTATAATTCAACAATACACCAAATGTGTACACAAACATTTAACTCCTCGGAAAAATTTCACATCTAAAAGATTTCACTATCGGGTTGCCAACAAGGGCTGCCAATAATAACAAATAACCTGAAATATGTTTTTTTTTTTGCACAATTTTCTATATTTACGCAAATCTTTAAGGTGTCTCATATCTAAAAATATTCTCAATACAATTTCCTCAAGCTGTCTTACATCTGTAAAATAAAATATTGTGCGTTCTTTAATTTACATGCGTAAAACGAAAATTATCTGCTAACAATTTTCCTGATAGTAAGTAATTTGTGTAAAACATTACTCTTTTAACATTTTACTCAAAAAAAAAACATATATAAAAAATGGTACATTAAGTACAAGTTGGCAACCCTAAAGGAACGTATTAGACGATACTGCCGCATTTTCCATTAGTCAAAGACAAGTTGGGTCCGAGCTGACGGGTGAGGGTTCCATGGCCGTAGGAGACGGCGTCCAAGCCGTTATTCATGTACTGGTTATTCTGTAGCCCTATTAGCAGTTCTACCAACGCATTGGAGGCGCTTTGAGCATTGAGGAGTTCGTATATGACGCAGTTGCACTCTGGCTCCGGGGTCTTGGAGGAGGTGGAGCTGGATGTGGAGGTGGAGGTGGAGGCGGAGGTGGAGGTGTGTTGGGGTGGGGAGGCGTGCAGAGGGCAGGCCAGCTGCAGGTTGGTGGGGTACTGCACGGGGATGCCGGACAGATGGTTGGCGGCGGCGCGCGCGTAGAACACGCACCCGTGACCGTCCGCGTCCGGATAGTTGGGATTGCCGTTGTGCTGGAAATAATTGTTTCACATAAATTAAATTGCACAATATATCATTTTGATAAAAGGCTTTTACATATATTTCTGAGAATAATACGAAAAACAAAGGCTCTCAATCAATTTCAATACCCCAGTTAACCACTAGTAGACTTATCACGCTGAATCTCTAATATAGGTCTATAGTGGCCACTCTGATCACACTGACGTGACTCTGAGTGGAATGTGGCGGCAAGTAAATTTGTATTTGATATTATAAGGTGGCATACGAACTAGCGGCCACCTGAAATCGCCGAACTGGCGGAGCGACCGCTACCACTGATGCCTTGCCTATGTTCGAATAATCTATGTATTCGTATCGGAATTCTGAATGTATAAAGTAATGTAATATTTACCCATATGAGTAGCTGAGCGGCGGCGAGCTGTCCGGCGGCGGCGGCGGCGCGCAGTGCGAGGGAGCGGTCGTGCGGGGGCGGGGCGCGGGGCGGGGGCGTGGCCAGCGCGCGCACCAGCGCCCCCACGTTACCGCGCGCCGCCGCCGCACGCAGCGCCTCCCCGGACACGCTGCTCTCACCGCTACCCAGGAACGCACGACGCTCGTACTTCAAACGTATCCATCTGTCGAACGTTATATTTTTTTTAATCCTTTGGAATGCTCAAAAAATTCTTAACCAATGTCATCAAACAATAAACAAATAAATTTCCAGTTAGTATGTATTGGTTGTACCTCTCCTTGTCCTCGCGCGGCGCGTTGTGCTGGGGGCGGGCGTGTCCGCGCAGCTCCGCCTCCCACACCGCATTGGCCAGCGTGTTGCCCACACACACCATCACGCTCACGTAGCTCAAACTGATAGATTAACACAATATATATATCAACATTTTCTCATGTAACATAAAAAACTTAAGTAATTTCAAGAGTTGAAGAAAACTTGCAAGTTATTAAATAATTTTGTAAGTCATATTCATGTGAAATTCATTTATTTGTTATAAAAATTATACGAGAAATTAAACTTACGGCCATTCGTCCAGATCCAGTGAGCGCACGCGAGATATATGCGAGCCGAGGTTCCTGTGCACGCCCGAGCACTCTATACAGATCAGAATACCCAGGTTCAAACTGGCCCAGTCTGGATCTGAAATTAAAATAACCACCTTATTTTACTATTATTATAAATGCGATTTTTTGGACGGATGGATGGATGTTTTTTAGAAGGTATCACCAGATTAGATTAACAAATTAAGTTTTTTTTTAATTCCACACGGACGGACAATTCGAGAGCAACAGCTAGTAATATATACAGGTAAAGTTAAGATATATTTTTTTTATTTAAAAGGATTAGATTAAGAAGATGTACAGACCCTGTGCTCCGCAGTCACAACAGCGGTCGTTGCCGGGCACGCGGCGCACGTACTGCGTGGCGCGCACCAAGCCCGTAGAATTAGCGCCCGTCGGCAGCGGCTGCCGGGACGTCTGCGAAACGATACATCTTATTCATACAAAATTCTAGATGTATGGATGGATAGAGTTTTGTTAGAAGATATCTCCATAACAGCATATTCTAGGAGAACAAATAGGTAATTACTTCATTTTTTATCAATGCTGCACCTCAATACTATATTTACTGTTAGTTACAATCACCATAAACCATTTGAAAAAAAAACATTGCGATCCGTCCGTCAAAACAGTAGTAACGATTTGTTTCGGCAGTGGAAACCCACTTTAACATTATATTTTGGTAGGTACAGACCCGTCCTTGCAGCGAGGCTAATATCTGTGCCTCTACGGCGGCCACCCAGGCGTCCCTCTCAGCTGCAGCCGCCGCCCCCGCGCCCGCCGCGCCGCCCCCCGCGCACACCTCCCAGCGCCACCGCTTGCCGTCCAGACTCACTATTGTGAACTCGCACGATGTCGCACTCTCGCCTTCTGGAAATTGTAACAACCACTTTTACTAACATAAAGAAGAATTTGATAAATATTATTATCATTATAAATGCAAAAGTTTGGACGTGTGAACGGATGGATGGATGGATGTTTGTTATGTGTCTCCAGAATGGCTTTATGGATTTTGATGACATTTGGCATGAATGTAGAACATAGTCTGCAAGAACACATTGGCTATTATTATTTTTTTATTCCGCGCAAACGCAGGCGATAACTAGAAAATATTAATATTATGCAATGTTACATACAATTGCTTAATATTATAATAATTTACTTTTTATTATCTACACCATGGCTTAACGGAGTCCAATAAAATTCTGTAAGATGTAGAACATAGTCTGGATAAACAAATAGGAAACTTATTTCTTTTTAAAGTGCAAATGGTAATTTAAACTGTAATACTACCAATAGAACTGTTAACAGTGGTACAAAAATTTCATCTAATCATAAATAGTTACTGACCATCATCACCATCTTTCTTAACGCCACTACTCTTCATACGTCGATGTCGTTTCTTGACATGAGGCGTATCTTTGTCCGCACCATTGATGGAGCCCACTTCTACTTCTGAGGCCAGCGACTGTCTGCTGGAAGCTGGTTCCTTCAGGGTGTCAAATGCTGACAACAACGCTTTATCTGTCGCTCTGGATGGCTTCTCTTTGTAACCTATGAAATAAAAATTATATAGAGCACAATACAAGAGTTTGTTTTCAATTATTATATCATTAACTAGCAATCGTCCGCGTCTTTCTCAGCACAGAAAAAGTGTATAAAATGACGCTACGCATAAGCTACCTTTCCAATATGGTCACATCACAATCGGGCCAGCCTTACCGAGAAGAAATAACAAATGCAATTTGTGGACGGACAGACAAAAATATTAAAAATTGGTTTTGTGTAAGTAAAGCTATATGATTTGTGTCTTAGATGATACATACAAACAGTCCAATTTTTTTTATGTACATGAGTTAGAAAACATACCAAGTGACAATCCCCCAATGCTATCATGTATATCGAAGCTGGTGTATCCATTGTAGCCTGGAACAGTGGTGATGACAGACTTTGAGCCGCGGGGCTTCTGGCCCGGCACCTTCACCGTCACATACTGGAGAGATATCTCCTTGCCATTCACATCCTCCATGTAGTCCTGCAAATATGTAAGCATATATAATTCTGTTTCTTTAAAATGTGTCTGTTAATAGAAAGTTCTATGAAAACAAAGCTTTTTTTTAATTTTTCAATTCTCTAATGAAAAAATTTTAGTAGTCACCACTGTAATTTATAGTATGAATTTAGAGACTTAGTCTAGTTCAATTAAAAAAGTCCCAAAAAAAGGTAGTCTTGTCACAATTTGACTTATTAATGGTTCAATTTAATCGTCACAGAAGTTTAATAGTCTATTCCACATTACTTACATGTAAACTAGGATGATATGTGAGTCTTCCATCATCACATAATGTGACATACTTCTTCTTCCATTCCTTATTTAGTGCTTTACTGCTTTTCTTGTACAGGTAACCTTGCTTCAGAGGAATAGCTCTACCAGATCCTAACTCCCCATTCTTCAGTCTATCATCACCTTTCTTTGAAGGTGTGAATAAGTTTGATCTTCTCCGCGATTTTCTTGACGTGGTTGGAGTAGACGATGGTGTGGGAAGGTCTTTTTGATCTTTCGCGGGTTGCAGGTTGTCCAAACAGTGGGGTGCTGTGAACTTGACGTTATTGTTCTCTGTAGCAATGGAGACCAGGCCTGAGGATGACCCATGGCTGCCAAGGGAGTTGCCCCACCGGGATGAGGTGTCCGAGCCATTCGTGCTGTGGATCTCGACCACGTGGGTTGATGATATACCACTACTGTTGGATGACGCATCGAAGGAGGACGCGCCTCTGTGTAAATGATGGGATGATGCTGACAATGTGTGATGACCCCGTGGTAAAGAATCCTGGAAATAGAAATTATGCGTTTTTAAATTAACAGCTTTATTCACATTACATTATTGTTTTCAAGCAAGACAAATTTTAAGTTAAATTCACTTGAAATGTAACTTTCATTTGAAGTCTCGTTGTAATTATGACTTAAAAATGTAATTCCTGTTTAAAGACAGGAACTAGCTTGTTATCTAGAGTGAGGAAATGCCGTGTTACGTAATTTTCGGCATCACATAGGTATTCGTGTTACTTTGCTAAGTGTACAAGACTTGCCTACATTTGTCTGAAAACCTTTCAACCATGTAGGTAACTCACACTTCACAAGTTCTATTCAGATAACTCTATCTTCAATACTATAGTAACCTGTATTCTATATCAATGACAGATAAGATCTATTTCCGCAGGGAAGTGCGGCAGGGGAGGGACATCGTGATCAACCGAGCCGTATCTATAGTGACCGATTCAACGAGTCATTTCAATGCCGATTGAATGCAATTATAATGCATATATGCGGAATTATTATCAAGTAAACAAAACGTAACATGGTGTAAGGAAAATCGAGAATCGAAATTATATCCAATATACCACTCAAATAGCGAAATGTCAGAGAAAATTGTCTACCCAAGTTCGAGAACATTTTGTATTTTTAAAATAATAGTGACCAGAATTGATGTTACAGATAAATTTTTCTAACTATTTTTTTTTCTAAGTCCTAAGCAGGAATATGGAGAACTGATCGCCAATCTTCACTAGTCGGAGAGGCACCTCAAGAAGAAGAAGAAGAAGCAGCAATAGACTTTTTTATGTAATTAGCTGTCGCCCTCGACTCTGTCCGTGTGGTATTAATAAAACTTAATTAATAGCCGATGTGTTCATCCAGATTATATTCTAAATCTATGCCAAATTTTAGCAAGATCCGTTCAGCCATTCTGGACATACTTTCAACATCCATCCATCCAAACATTCGTATCTATAATGAGTCATTATTGTCACATCTGTATTTTTTTTAAACAAGTTCCCCTTGAACTAAATTCAAATAACATTGATATGTTACAAAAACACATACAATGAAAACACATGTTATCTTCAGTATATAACACCTTGGACTAATTATATATTACACTGTTTTCTTACATTCCACATATAGTTATTGCTATCTCTTTTTAACTTAAATATGTGAAAGGTGCATGAACTCAAAGTAATTTTACATTAAATGCATACAAAATTATAACATCCTGGTTGGTGATAAAAATAACAAGGAGTCACTTTCATTATCACAAACGCAATTTCCTTTAGCACCGTTTTGACACAGACTACGAATAAAGCAAAATTTATTTAAGTAAATAAATCAACTATTTAGCTTAATAGTTGCAAAGTTTGTCAAATATAATCTTGTTGTCATACTAATATTATAAATGTTTGTTTGGATGTATGGATGGACGGATGTTTGTTAGAAGTCATCAGTAGAACGGCTAATGGATTTCAATAAAATTAAATTTGGCATAGATGTAGAACATAATCTGGAAGAACACATAGTTCAGTAATAAGCTTATTTTGTTTCAGTGAGGACAGAGTCCCTGGACGGAGCTGGTGATATTATATAACAAAGAAGTATGAATTTTTTATAATATTATTACTTGTTTTTCTAGTTTTTAATGTGATTAATTTTCAATATAAATATAGCCATAATAGAAACAAGAACCTGTTTACTAGAGAATAAATTAACTTGAACCTCACATACAGGGCAGAAAATTTATTATTATAGTCATTGTTTGATATGTCATTGAGCTTTTAAGGTAGATGGAACTGTGAAATTTAGCAGAAATTATATTAGTAATAAAACATATTGCTGTCTTTATTTTTTTAAACTAAAAGAGGGAGTTGACGATATATATTACATGTGTAAAGACAGAAGAAATTCACAGTAAAGCCAGTATGTCTCCAGAGATCAACAATGTATGATGCCTTTAAGATATTTACTAATTCATAAACATACAGGCTGTAACTTTTGTTGAAAATTGACATAGTTGCTGTTCAAGTATATGACACATAAAATATGTACACCATTTAGTGTATACATCCATTAAAATATTTGACTTAAATGTGCAGGACAGAAGCAGGAACCGGCAATTCAGGTCAATTAAGTTCCTGATTCACTATGATAACAACTATGCAGAGAAACTATTCCGACATTTGTTGGAATTCACAAAAATATTTTCTGTTGAAATATGTTGTACAGCTCTGTGATAAAAAGTATTTTAATACTGTTTGTACAGGAGCACATAATCATACCTATTTAAATAGTAGCAAATATTGTTTTTGGTTACTAAATTCATTTCTTGATCCTTAAATTTTATCATGAAAATAAGGATAAAATGAAAAATTATAATGTAACAAATTATTTTTTTACTGTCCAATCTCGTATACTATAGTTAAATTAGAAGTTTTTCATTAGTTAATTAGAAAAATAATAATAGCTCACCTTGTACAAAAATGAAGAGTGATTATGGCTGGGTGAATTGGCAAGAGGCTGCGGCGTAACCGGCCTGGAGCCCGCCAGGCACTGGGAGGAGGCCGACAGCCTCGTCCCCACAATCTTCTGACACGCTAAAAACAAAAAACACTCTAAACCACGCTCATATAAATGTCCCCATTTCAAAAGCAACACAATTCAATACAATCACTATTTTTAATTCGAAACACGAACTCGAACGGTGAAATTCACGCACATTCAAATTTAGCAGATTTTCGACGGTCGCGCTCCTCAGCTCTCTGGATGTTATAGCATGAACTGCGACGCCTCAGACTCGATATCGGCGATAAGTTGGATTTAAATATGAGCGTCTTATCCATATCTCCATTCAGAAATTCAAGCTGTTATTGCAAAAAATTTAAACGCGATAGTCCACACTCCGGTTTAACGACGCGTCTATGTCAAAAATGTAAACAATAGCGCGAGTGAATAATGAACGAAAACGAACGAGACGACCGCGCCGCCGCGGTTCGGTGTTGCCACTGCGGGTACACGATTCTCCCCGCGCCGGCCGGCCGATATCATCGAGCTATCTATGCACGCACGCGAAACAATCTGTAATTGCCGGAAAGTATATCACGTAATTTAACCAGTTTGTGATGAATTAGGATAAAACTAATCAGAATTGGCTAGTTGTTGTTAATGTATAAGTACGTATGTACTGTAATAATAATTTAATTATTTACACAATAATTAAAATCTTAGATTTTTATAAAAGACATGTTTATGAATCCCAATTTTTAAAGGTGATTTATTAAATATATGTTATGTTACTTACCATCTTGAAACACCCGTTCGACATTTAAGCCGTATGTCGCGCACGTTTCGTAGTAAGAACATCTCCGCAGTTCGTTCGTCAACTTACGAGCTCGGTTATCGTCTACTACTCGTGGACTACTTTCACTTATGGCATCTGGAATGGTAAGTGATGATTTGATAGGATCGTAACATGACATACTATGAAATTAAGAATTTTTGTGTCAATAAAAACTACAAACGATGGCAATGAAACTTGTAGTCAAACTGACCTTGGGTTCCGACCAATATTAATGGAATTTCAGCTGAATTCCTATAGTGTGACATTTTATTGAAGTACGTCGAAACTGTTTTGTAACTGATTTCGTTTTCTAGACTAAATACGAAGATCACTGCGTCCACCCAGGCAGTAAACTGTAACAAATAAAGTATAACTTGATGAAAGTATTCTCAATTCCTTTATATTACAACATGTTTTAGGAAAAAAAGTTAGCGAGAATTTTCGCATAAAAAAAATTCACCCTAGTTTTGTCGCTAATAATTACGAGGGGTTGGTCTTGCAATCGTAGGGGTTTGTTAAAGAAGGGGTTACGTTACATACATCACATATGACCATTAACATTAATATTGTGTCAGAAAATTACCAAAAAAATTTCTAAAACAATTTTATCGCAAAACATCGCAAATTTTCGCAAGAATTTTCTTCTAACGAAAATAAATTAACGCAAGCAGATAGCTGACAAAGTGTATGAATAACTCAGATTCCACTTGAATGGTTGTGCGTAGGAGGGTGTCACCCTTTTATATCGAAGAACAATTGAGTATAGGAGACGCGTCACTCTGAAGAATGTTACACGTGGCGTTCTACGGAAAAACTAAAGTTTTTAAATTTTCAAGCCTCATTAATAATACAAAATTATATGTAAATGGTTATCTTCAAATTAAATAAAGTGCAGTAATTTATAAATGTACACTTTAAGTGAAGAAATGGTTATCATAAACCACAGGAAATTAAGAAAACTATTTCCTAAAGTAATACCTTTAATTAACGTAAATGATATTAAATATTGAGTTTAAATAAAGATGATATAGTAATAAGCACCTAAAATTATTATACCTAAAGCTGTATTACACTTTGAATTTATATTTTACTGGAGGATATAAGAGATATCAAGTATATTTTTAATTTTAAGATGTATTCACTAATGTGAAAAAGTTTTGTTGTTTATAATATACACTTCATATCAGATACTATTATATGATAGTTTAAAAAAATTACAAGACAGCTTTAGTAGCAAGCAGGACAATTATATTTTTTTTAGATTTTTAATATAGAGAGCAATTATAAGATCACATACATACTCTTATCGTACGTAACACAAATCTTTTGTCTATTCTTGATTCAAAAAAACATCTACTTAATTGTTCCAGTTTTTACACATCCACAATTTAACGGTTTATTATCACTACAGAAAACAAAAGGAAATTGAAATTTTATTTTATTTGACAATCATACAATGAAATTTTATATACTTACCGGTCGATATCAACATTTTACATTTATGAAATATAACAGGTCAATTATTTACATAAGTAATAACTGAAAAATATTTTAAAAATGGAAATAAAGAATAAATTATGAAGGGTAGCGTGTAGGGCAGAGCGCTAAAGGCAACTGGGCGGGCGGGCGGCTCGGCCTGATAGCGCGAAACCTTCGTTGTTTCCATTTCACTCGCACAAACTGAACATACGCTTGTGAATGAGACGGGTTTACTGTATGCATTTATTCCCGAACCTTGCAATTCAACATATACATTATGTATACTTTCACTATAAATGCACATGTAATAAACTGGTTGAATATTGGTATAACAGATAACTCCTGGAACTATACAATCGATTAACAAAGAGTTTTAACTGTTTTTGTAACTTTTGCAATTGAGCATCTACGTTATTCGTGTTTCTAAATCCCACATAAAATCCTCATCACAAATTTCACGATTAAGAAGTAAAAATTATCACATTGGGACGTTAATCTATATATTTAGATCAATGTTTAAACCGTGACCTGTTGACATTATATTGAGTTTAGCCCCATATGAAATGCCATAGCCTACGATAGTGACACTAATAACCAAAGATCGATAAAAAGATAAACTCGTATACACTCGCTTTATTAAACTATTCTTTACTGGCATTAAATCAAATAATAGCGTTACGTTATTTTAAGTCAATAAAAATTATCATTCATCTATAATTGTAATATAATTATCTGCAGCGATTTGAAAACCTTGACATAATGATAAAATAAAATTACCCAATCAATAAACTAACAATACGATAATTCCTTCAAATCTATAATCGTCCCTTACATATAAAGTATAATAAATGTTCGATATGGTACTTACTATTCTAATAACCGAATGATGTAACAAAAGTTACGAAATAAGACAGTCTTAATATCCGATGTTTATGTTTTGTTTAGTTAAGTTGTCACATACATTTTTATCTATTGCAAAAAAATAATGCAAGATATATTTCTAGCGAATCCTGATAAGATCGATGAAAATCTAAGAACTGATAGCAATTATTTATCTTCACATACGAAAGATTGTAAGGAAAAACGCAATAATTTATACATATTCTGCTGAGTCAAACGTTCAATTCATCGTTTAATCAATTAAGTTTGTTACACTTAATAATTTAATGTTTTAAAATTATTTAAGTGCTACTCATTTAGACATAGAAATAAAAATTTTATATTCTCCATATTACCTAATAGAGCTACATTATAATAGGAACGTGAAGTATTACTAAACTAGGCGAAGTGACTTCATCATTGTTCAAATCAATGGCAAAAGTTAGGAAACGAATTTTCTAGGGAATAATTGAACTGTGAAGTCTTGCGTGCAACACGTCGTAGTCTTGACATTCATCGCCGTAACAATTATTACGACCGAATATAGACACACGAGACCTAAGTAGCGAACATTTATTGTACGTTTCATCTAACCAAAGGTGTCTCCACTACAGCATTAAGAACACACAAAACAGTTCAGCACTTGCATCTTGCATGAATTTCTCAAGTGTTAAAGACCTAGATGTAAATAGAGTTATTAAATCGAAGGCTTAAAAATATAAGAACATTTAGGAATTATGCACTCACTTTTTATTTATGCATGAACATAAATTACATATCAGTTCATCTCGTAAACCAAACTAGAAAGTGTTCTATATACTACTAGCATTTTATATGCAGATATTGGATTGCAGTATGGGCAAGTGTTCAGAAAATAAAACTTTGTACTTTGGTCTACACATCTTCATTAGTAGCTGCAATTTTTTATTCTCTACTAGTGATTGCTTTGAGTTAATTTTAGTATATTAAATAGTGAAACTGTTGATCGAAGCGTACGATTTGAATAATTGCAGTAATAACTCGAGGCTGGTGTGGCCGTTGTGCAAAGGAAGCGCCCGCTGCGTGCGTGCGGCGTGCGGCGCGACGTCAGCTAGCGCGCTCTCAATTATTCCGTCATTGTTCCGCGCCATTCCTCTCGTTACCTCCTCGGAGTATTGTTCCCAAAATAAACTTTTATTTGTTCGCATATAATTTGCTAACTGTTCCGGTGCATTGTGGTATTGTTTTCTTGTTCGAAGTATTGTTTTGGCTATAGCTTGGAGATTTATTACGGAGAATTTACAAAATATTTACAGATTTACTAAACTTGATAATATTGGAATAAGTATAAATATAAAGTCAAATACCAGAGCTTTTAAAACATTTTTTTATCATCAAAAATCACTAAAAACATTAAAATCGCGTTATCACAGGCTTAGACGAAACTACTTATACCAAGTCACATTCTTTTCAACGTGTACGTCCTCACGATAGCTTGAGCACATCGACGAGAACAATTCGATACTTTTGTTGTCTGGTTATAAGTAATCGAGAACAGGTTTTCAAGCCCCCGCAAGGCTAGGGTGCGAGCCGAACAAAAGAACTCGAGTTATCTATGCTGTTACTTGTTTTGTTCACTACAGTTGTTTTTTTTTAACCAGCATGAACAGGGTTGAGAATACTACTTGAATAGGTAACTTAATACCGAAACGTGATACTTGCGACGTTAAAACAAATGTATTGTTACGACAATGGTACTTGGATACTAAGGTAAAATAACCTATATGAATGTGCGTAGTTATTTAGTTGTTTGACTTATCAATAGTTTTATTAGGATGTTGCTAACAAATCATATGTGTCTATAATAAGTTCATTGCTGACAGCATATAAAAACCGTATACAGAATCTAAATATCTATTCAGATAATATTCTTCTGACTAATAATTAAACAAAAGGAAACCATTGTAAAAAACACATTAGTTAAATAAGACAATCTAACAAATTCCTCCAGCGACGGCAGAAAATAAAACAAAGTGTGTAATTACGGTCTAATTAAAGATCCCAATTCAAATTAAATTGTCTCCAGCCGACTTAGTTGGTGAGAATGTCTAATTAATATTTGCATCGCGAATATTCCATGTTACATCATTTTAAACCTTATACCCATGTGCTTCAGTGTACACTATATTTTAAACAATATTTTTCCAAATGGTAAGGGAACTTTATGAGTTAATTTTCTTGAAAACAGCAGCCGAAGTAACAGTGTAATATTCCTAAAGTTGATAAACATGTAATGAGGAGATTTTTCCAATAATATAATACGAAAACATAAAGTGTCTGATTTACCCCAAATTAGGGAAAATTTTGAGTGAGGACACATAGACCGAATGTAATTTGAGAGCGATAATGAGTTGCAACGAATGAATGAAATTTAAATCAGAAGTCAAAATATATCCATACTCTATACATATTGACTGATAATAACACATATCAAAAACTAAAAGTAAGTAAAAATATATTTCCCGCGAGCAAGCGCTTTTTAAATTGCAACGCCGCAATGTTAAAATGTAAATATAGAATAATATTTGAAACGCAATATGTAATATAATATGTAGATTAATTATGAAATTGAATACTTTTGTAACATTTCAAGAAGGCAATTGTCAACCAAGCATTAAAGCTAGATAAGTTTTTAATAAAATAGACGAAGATTCACTTCGGTAAAATTGACAAAAAAACTTACAAGTATAGTTACGTCAACAAAATGGCGCTTACTAAATAAAAAAACAAGTGCTCAATTACTTTACAAATCCCCTAGACATCGTTTCTTACTTAAGTGGGACAAATCAGGGAAAATCCGAAATGGGAAACCCGATTTTATCGAGTTACAAACTTTTGAAGCAACTCTGTTGGGGTCGATAATGTGTTGATAGAAAGGGCGCTAGTAGAAATGAATGTCACAGAGCACATTTTGTTACCAACGTTTTAGAAATGTATATTGAAGTATTATTCATAT